CCACACCCCACACCCACACCCCACACCCACACCCCACACCCACACCCAAAGTTCAAAATGTTGAGAATCTGTTTGCATTTGTAATTTTTAAGGGCAACATCTTCATAATAAATGACAAGATAACAGCGGCTTTGTATAACATTGTAAACTTTTATTTTGAAATAAAAAGACAATAATTCGACGTTTCGATGATCTATGTCATCATTTTCAAGATTTATTAAGATCTTTGAAAAATTGTACATTGAGCAAAGAAAAGAAGGAAAGAGAACAAAAATAAAAAAGAAGAAGACAGAGAAAAGGTAGAGAGGAAAAGAGAAGCCATAATACAATAACAAAAGACTTTAAGTTACATTAATAATCAGGATTAGGTAACAGAACTCTCGGTAGACCATCAGGAAAAAGCAGTAATGGTACCGAATGTGTTGTTTTGTTAGGTTCTGGTTCATAAGCCTTGATCAGTAATGATTCCTTAATTAACAAGCGATAATAATGATTGTCTTGTCATATTACCTGAAAATTACTCCAGTCCATATGATGACCTGTTTCTTTTTCATGTTGAGTAATTGATGACTTGGCAATCTGATTATCGTTGTTGTTGTCGTCTGTTATTGTTGTTGCTGCTGTTGTTTTACTTTTTAGCCGTGATGATCTTCTTAATCCTTGAATGTTGTTATTATTATTAAGATCATCACTTACATGGTTGCACTGTTGTTGTTGACAAGCTGTTTTTGGTGCACCATCTTCATATAATCTTCGTATACATTGACGTTCCGTCTTGCCAATATACAAATGTGTACAGTCATTACATTTAATATAATATACTACATCCGACTTCATGTGTTTCACAATTGGATCTTTGTTTTGAAAGAATGCTTGTGTCGATGGTGGTGATTTGGTGAAGAATTGGATGTCGAGATCAGGTCGTAATTTATTAGATAGATATAAGATCTTTTTCTTCAATTCTAATGTTGAAGATCTAATAAATGGTAATTCGACACACATTTTCTTCTTATCACATCCTATTTTTGGTTCATTTAATTTTCCATTAATTTTATTTCGATGTTGACTTAATTTGATGGCAATAATAGTATCAATAAAAGATAATGGATAATCATTTTTTAAACCAATTTTTCTTATTTCATCTAATTCAGTCTCTAATAATGTATATGTTGAACATATATTGAGTGCACGATTAACCATACTAACAATACTAGCTTTCTTATATTGAATGGGAACATAAGAATTCCAATTTGTTAGTAGTCCAGTGAATGTTGGTTTTCGATAAATTGTCGTCTCGAACCAATGTTGTTCAGATGATCGAATAACTTGTACATCGAGGAATTCCAATTTATCATTATCTTCAATCTTTCTTGTAAATTTAATTGATGGATGAAAATCATTGAGAATGGATAATATGTTATCTACATTTGCATCTTTATTAATGAAAACAAATGTATCATCTACATATCGATACCATTCACATACACCTAATTGTGTTAATTTATCCATCAATGTTGTTTCCAAGTAAGTCATAAAGATATCAGCCATCACTGAAGCTAATGGAGCACCCATTGCAACACCATTAAGTTGAACATATATTTTGTTATTAAAGATAAAATGTGTTTTAGATGTAGCTTCTTCGAGTAGAGCTCTAAAGTCGACATTCTGCTTACATTTACGATATTGTTCTGCTCTTGGTGGTTTCAGACATGGTTTTTTACATGTTGGATACATTTGATCAAGAACAAAATCAATTGTATAGGTAAGTGGAACATTGGTAAAGAGACTTACTACATCAAATGAAACCATTATCTAATCCACATTATTTGATGATTTAATTTTGTTTAAAAAATCAAATGAATCTTGAGGGTGTGGGTGTGGGTGTGTGTTGGTGGGTGGGGGTGGGTGTGGGTGTGAGTGTGGCTGTGGCTGTGTGTTTTATCTTTTATCACACCCACACCCACCCTGCATATGTATTGCGTATCTTACAACATATGCTTGTAAGCGAAAAGAGAATATAGAATGAATGTGGTGATCAATAAGCTAATCAAATGATGAAAAAAAAATAGTTTGGACCTTTATTTTATGCAGTCAGTATGAATATATGTTAACTACAAAAGCTATGTGTATATCGAAAGAAGTCTAATCAATCTTTTTTATGGAAACTGATAAATGATGGGTATCGTAGATACGTTTGTGATCAATTGCTTTTCTAAACTATTGTTACTAGGAGTAACAAGACAAAATCGTCGGTTAACCGTTATTAGCTGGTGATTTTGATTAAAACCGTCGGTTTTCACGAAAAAATATGACATAAGTTTGTATGCGTTCACTTTTTATTCAGAAAAAGACAAAATATATAAGTCAGTTAACAGCACAGAGAGAGAGGAAATTTAAATCAGGGTTTATTTTTATTTATTTTCGTTTCCTTTTCGGTTCTCTTGTCGAATAAAACTAAAACTCAAGTAAGAAATTTTTTATTTTTCTGCTTTTCTTTTGACTTAATGATTTTCTTTTCGTTTCAATCATCGATTTCATCCATGGGACGTTAATCAAGTGAAAGTAGGAGAGAAGAAGGGTAGGTTGACATTAGTTAGTTAATTGTGCGACGGGATCAGACTCAAAGAGAGTGGGGTTAGGATAGGGATCCATGAAGAAGACAGGGCTAGGTAATTCTATTCCTTAAAGATACTTCATGCAGGCGCTCATCTACTACAGGCTTTCCGGGTAGGCCCAGGAACTCTGTCAGGAACTATCCTGGCGGTCGTGGCACACGGCTGGGCATTGCTAAGACTTATTAACATGTTCTGCGTATTTGTGTTTTCTGACATTTACATGAGCTTTACACTCGCCACAGCGCTACTAGGGTAGTTTCTAGTCGCACACGCGCGCGAATAAGTAGAAATCAAATTCATTTATGGTTATTTATTTAATAGAACGAAAAAAAAA